CCGGCTCCCTGGCCCCAGCTGGGCGTTTCCGGCTGTGCGGCAGGCGCGGGACGCGGGGCAGAGAACGACCATCTACAAGCGGGACCCGTCCAAGCAGTACGGGCTGAAGATGAAAACCTCGCGCGCCTTCTTCAGCGAGGTGGAGCGGCGCTTCGACACCATGCCCTTCACCCTGCGGTGAGGAGCCCGAGTCCCGGCCGAACCCCAAAAATCACCTGAACCCCAAAAATCACCTGAACCCCAAAATATCACACCTGAACCCCAAAATATCACCTGAACCCCAAAAATCACCCTGAACTGCCAAAATATCACCTGAACCCCAAAATATCACACCTGAACCCACCAAAATATCACCTGAACCCCAAAATATCACACCTGAACCCCAAAATATCACACCTGAACCCCAAAATATCACACCTGAACCGCCCAGAACCCCACCCGAACCCACCAAAATCACACCTGAACTGCCAAAATATCACCTGAACCCCAAAATATCACACCTGAACTGCCAAAATATCACCTGAACTGCCAAAATATCACCTGAACCCCAAATATCACCTGAACCCCAAAATATCACACCTGAACCCCAAAATATCACCTGAACCCCCCAGAACCCCACCCGAACACACCAAAATCACACCTGAACTGCCCAAAATATCACCTGAACTGCCCAAAATCACACCTGAACCCCAAAGTATCACCTGAACCCCAAAAATCACACCTGAACCCCAAAATATCACCTGAACTGCCAAAATATCACACCTGAACCGCCAAATATCACCTGAACCCCAAAATATCACACCTGAACCCCCCAGGACCCCACCCGAACCCACCAAAATCACACCTGAACCCCAAAATATCACCTGAACCCCAAAATATCACACCTGAACCCCAAAATATCACACCTGAACCCACCAAAATATCACACCTGAACCCCAAAATATCACCCGAACCCCAAAATATCACCTGAACCCACCAAAATATCACCTGAACCCCAAAATATCACACCTGAACCCCAAAATATCACCTGAACCCCAAAATATCAC